AAAAAAAAAAAAAAAAAAAAAAAAAAAAAAAACCTAAACCCATCATCCTGTCCTACAAGACCGTCCCTGATTTAGTACCTTAGCCCTTATCACCAAGAACTTTCTCTCTCCATGTTATTCATGTTCCAGCCAAGCTGGTCTTTTGCTGTTCATCTTAAATGGGGTTCACAGTATTTTTTGAATCTATGGTCTAATATTTTCATCAGCTTTACAAGATTCTCTTCTCCAATTAATATGTTAAAGACTTTTACACTGTTCTCTACTCCTTGCACTTTTTTCTGCATATTTCACCCTTTCTTTCCACGATCTAGTCTGGATTATTTCCCTTTCTCTTATAGCTCTTTAGAGTTCTCTTTAGTTTGGCCAAACCTGCTATTAAGTCAATGTATTAATATTTTTTTCTCATCTCATTAGTTATAAAATTTAGTGACTATATTTTCCAGTTCTCAAATTCAGTTTAATTGCCATGTTTATAGTTTCTAGTTCTTTGCTGAAAGTCTCCATATTGTTCTCTAACTATAGTGTAGAAGTTTATTTCTAAGCTTCCTCAAATCTATATTTTTCCTAGTTCATTATCTAGTTCCATTTACTCATGTTATCATGTCTCTTGGTATGCTTGGTGGTTCTGTGCATAACTTGCAGTGATAAGCTGAGGCTCAGAAGAGTGTCACTTCACGTCAGAAAATATGTATATTTGCCTCTGGCAGGCAGTAAGGCGGGGAGATCAAACAAACAGGGACTGAGATGACTGAAAACTGAGTTTCAATATTCATAATGGCTGATCTAGATCAACTCCTCTTTCCTTCTACTACTCCCGCTCTAAGGAGGGCCTAGCTAAAAGCTTAGGGTAGTTATCAAGGGTCTGCTGATGGGCAATGGGTTAATTTTCGTCCCTTTAATCCTATAAAATTGCTGGAATTTCAGTTCATCTTACTGCTTTCAGCTCAGCTTCAAATCGCTGTTTGCAAATTGGCAAATGCTTTGAAAACAAAACAATGCCAAATCAAAGGCTCATTTGTTTCTGTTTGCCCCTCATCTATGATTCCAGGTCTCTCAATCCTTATTCTGCTGCAGGTTCTGATGCCTTTACGCAGCTATTTTTAATTTGCTTAGCTTTTCTGATTGTTTTCAGATGGTCCAAATAAAGTAATGTCTCAACCTAACATGCAGAAAGGAAACATAAAAATAAAAGTATTCTTGGAATCAGAAAGATGTGTTTGAGTCTTTACTTGATACATCATTTATTTCCTATGTGATTATGGGTCAGTAACTACCCCCTTCAGTCTCAGTTTTCTTGAAAAAGGAAAAACCGTAACTATTTGCAGAAGTGTTTTGGACATAATACGTGTCAAATCCCTAAGACAATGCTGACGAAGAATTTAATGAATGGCAGGATACAGCCATACAGGGCTCCCAGCGTCATAAAAATAGTCAACACTTACGTGTACAATGACAGTTACAGATGAAAGACGAATGTTCTCAAATAATATTTTACTTTTTAACTTCAGATTCGTCATCATATTTGTCATAGCAATTTAAATGACTGCTGTGAGTGTGAAGTGAAACAACAGTTCTAACAACAAAGCTAAGCTAAATAAAGTCAGTCAGTGACTATGGGACTAATTATGGTTTCTGAAAACGGAGAAGTAACGGCTATTTCGGTACCTTCCGCACAGATACTCTGCAGACACAAGGATCTAGGATGCCTGTGGCGGCACTGGCGCTCATTTTGCACATAAACGAGAACTTCTTTTTCCAGTGAACACAATTTGCTTGCACCACTTCCCTGAAAGGGAAAGAAAGAAAAAAGAATCAGTTAATTAACTTACTGATGACATGTTAAAAAAGCATACTCTTTCACTCAAGTCTACGATACAGACGTGATGTATTAAAGGCCAGTATTTGTAATCAGCAAAATACAAAGAAAGCAAATTCCTAGCAATGTCATCTGAAAATCTTTGAAAGGTTTTAATTATGTGCAGGAAATGGGGAAAATATGAATTTACTTATCAGTTCTATTAATATAAATTGAGGCATTGCTATCTATTCAATCAACAACACACAATACACATCAATTTTAGGTGTTTTGAATACATGTTAGGTGTTTAACATATGAAATGAGGGTGACTATTTTCCTAACCTGGCAGGATTTAGATTACACTCAGTGTAAGGGACAGAAACACAAACAAATACTTAATCTAACATGAACAGTCGCAGCTTTATTCTTGTACCAGGCATAACAGTAATAGCAGCTACCGTCTACTGACAGCTACTTCATCTCCTTACAACCCTAGGAGGCAGCTGGCATTATCCTTAGTTTATGGAGAAGAAAAATAAGGCAGCAATGACTCAAAGCCAGTTAAAAGGAAGTAGCACAACTAGCATTCAAACAGGCCTATTTGCAATTAATGCATGTATTTACAGAAAAAGAATTAAAAAAAAAAAAAAAGACAAAACCAGGCCCATTTAACTCAAGCATCTACTTTGTCCACAAAGGAAAATCTGTACTTCTCCAACAACTCTCTTTTCAAGTTTCTATGCTGTCCTCTCTACTATTCTTTGTAAGTATAGGGGCTTGCCTTTAGAAAGGAAATAATTATTTCTCTAACCTAGGAAAAAGATCAAGACAATGGGTGAAAATAAAGAGAAAACTGGAGAAAGCAATAGAGAGAGGGAAGAGAATGCAGGATGACTAGTTCCGATTTCCTCAGGAAAGTACCAGACGGCTACTTCTACAGATGATGGGGGCAAGTGGGTGCGCTGAAATTTTAAGGAATTTTATCTGTTAAGTTATATGGCAAGCATGAATAGGGAGTTGATTTGCAGTTGTCTTAGCGAACAAAATTTATTTGTATTGAGGACCTACGAGTTTGGTTTATTGAATTTTTCAATCAATACGCAGAAATCTAAGAATGGGAATTGCAAAATCAAATATAATTTTAAAAACAATGTCAGAGTGTGCTGTCTGTACATGTATATCTACTCAAATATTTATAAACACACACAAATGGGAGAGGAGAGTATGTAATTCATCACAGTTTGCATGGGAGAACCTTAGGCATTTTATTTTTCTCAAAAGGGAGCTTTCGGTCATTTAATGAATGATGATGTATAGAGAATGAGTTTTTAGGGGAATTTTCTTCGAAATCCATCACGGATGTTAATGCATACTGTATGGCCATACACAAGCAGAATGAGTTACTGGCAAAGGCTGCATCTGGTAGTGTTTTTCAGGCAATCTTAGATACCCCGGGAAGCTCAGCACAGCTAACCTGGGCACTCAACATAAGCGAATGTGTAAATATATATATATA